CTCATCTCCCATCCCCTCCCCTTTTCTGCCCCCAGTTTTCCCTGGAGATCTCATCTAATTCCTTTTCCCATGTGTCCCTCTTAGGGTCTTTCTTGTTACCTAGCTTCTCTGCAGCTGTGGACTGTAGTCTGGTTATCCTTTGCTTACATCTAATATCCTCTTATGAGTGAGTACATACTGTGTTTGTCTTTCTGAACCTGAGTTACTTCACTCAGGATGATTTTTTCCCTAGTTCCATCCATTTGCCTGCAATTTCATAATGTCATGTTTTTTTTTTTTTTTCTAGCTGACTAATACTCCATTGTGTGAATGTTACCACATTTTCTTTGTCCATTCTTCAGTTAGGGGGCATCTAGGTTGTTTTTAGGTTCTGGATATTATGGATAATCCTTAATGTTAATTAGAAAAGTAATTTATAATTTGAACTATGTTACAGTTTACGGTTCACTTTTTCTGTAAGTGTTTTTCATGTCACCGTATCATTAACATAAGGAGCAAGGTGATACTTGTATTTGGAAATGTGGAAAATTAGGCCTTTAATGTTTTGCCTTGATAAGGTTCAAGGTTGGGGCAATGAATTATCGGTTTGAGGGTAACTTGATATATAGTAAGGATCTGGACTTAATGAAAGAGGGGAGGGAGGAGACAACATAACACTATAATACAAGGGGTAAGCATGTCTATATTAAATCTATATGTCAGCCATAATTTTTCAGGGTAATAAGACTACATCTAAATGTTTCATAAAAATCACAATCTGAATTTGGATGAAACTAAAGAGCCTAAAACATTAAGTAGCAAAACTATCCTATTTTCAGGGACCTATATAAGGGAATTTATAGTTTTTTTCCAGTGATCAACCTGCAGGTTGCCGACTGTCAATCAAAGACCATGGAGTTTTGTGGTGGGAGACTCCCAATCAACTCCTAATCTTGTAACTCAGGGTTACAGTTTTCTAGCTTTGGACAAATCACTTCTTCCTGAAAATTAATTTTATTATTTAGGTATATGAGGTCAGATTGGAGGTATAAAAACATTAGTATAGTATATCTGGCAATAAACAGCTGCTACTATAATGATTATAATTCTCATTAACAGTTTGGCTTTTCATTCTCAGGATATTTGACATAAAATTTTGGTTCATTTGCATTATTAAAGGTAATACATGGGTGTCTGCTATTCACTTAATGGATATTGTGTAATGGGCTGGGAATGTAGCTCCTCTATTAGAGTCCTTGCCTAGCCTTCGTCTGAAGTATAAACTGGTCATGCTGGCACAGATCTGTTTCCCCAGCACTTGTGAGGTTGTGAGTCAGCCTGGAATACAGGAGACTCTGTCTCAAAAGCAAGCAAGGACGTAAATAACAAATAAACATGGGAGAGCTAGCTGGCATTTAAGAGTGTACTTCTCTGTAGACAACCTGAGTTCTGTTCTCAACACCCACATCAGCTTGCTCAACTCCAGCTTAGGGGGATCTACCACCAACATGTACATATAGTCTAATAATAAAAATAAATCTTTAAAACCAACTAACCAGGCAGTCATTTTGCAATTACTGGTATCATAGAACTTACCATATCTGACAGTAATTTCCTACTTACTTCCTTTTCTATCCTGTTGGACTGTATGCTTATTGAGAATACAGGTGGGACAGCATTTTCCTTTCCTGCCTTGTTCATGGAGTTAAAGAAACGTGCATGCTCTGAAATCTGCAAAGAACCATTTAATATTGACATGAGGTGTTGTATTACTTGTAATACCTATCCTAGTTCCTGACTTACTCCTAATAGATATTTTTGTGGTGTTTATAAGAAGTCTTATATGTTTTAATGAAGTATAATTTTGAAAATGACTAATAGAGTTAGATAAAAAAGTGTAATTTTATTGCTGGAGGAAATAAAGTTCCTATGTTGTTCTTCTCTTGTGTTTAGCCCAAGGCTGTTGGTTAGGTGCTTTCTCAAATGTCATACTGCTGACTGGTGGCAGTATTTTTTATTTATAAGCTGGGAAAAGAGGAGTACATCAAATATCACTAAACTAAGGTGATGAATGAGTATTACTATTAAAAGGAAACCTGAACTTTCAAGGCTCTTTTTTGTTTCTGTAGTAAAGAATTATTATGTAAAACTATTATTTATTTATTTATTAAAGATTTCTGCCTCCTCCCCGCCACTGCCTCCCATTTCCCTCCCCCTCCCTCGTCAGCCCAAAGAGCATTCAGGGTTCCCTGCCCTGTGGGAAGTCCAAGGACCACCCACCTCCATCCAGGTCTAGTAATGTGAGCATCCAAACTGCCTAGGCGCCCCCAACGAAACCAATAGGTACAGTAGGATCAAAAACCCATTCATTGCCATTGTTCTTGATGTCTCAGTAGTCCTCATTGTCCACTATGCTCAGCGAGACCGGTTTTAACCCAGGCTTTTTCAGACCCAGGCCAGCTGGCCTTGGTGAGTTCCCGATAGAACATCCCCATTGTCTCAGTGTGTGGGTGCACCCCTCATGGTCCTGAGTTCCTTGCTCGTGCTCTCTCTCCATCTGCTCCTGATTTGGACCTTGAGATTTCAGTCCGGTGCTCCAATGTGGGTCTCTGTCTCTGTGTCCTTGTAAAACTATTATATGGGGTTATTATGCTAAGATAATGTAAAAATTATAGTTTTACCATTTATGTTGAAGTGATTAAGAAGTGATAGTATGATATTTTATATTTTCCAAAGCGATCAAAACTCTTAACATTGGTTTAGTCAGTATCCTTGAGAAATAAATTTTTTAAAAAAATATATAGAACTTTCATGTTTGTAACTTAAAAAAGACTTAAAGTCTAGTAGCTCATCCTCACAAAACCCAAGGAGATGCTAGAGAGAGCAGAGCAGGCAGGAGAGCATGAGATAAACCCACGCGATTGATCTTAGGACACACACTGTACATATGAACAACAATTGCATTATTAATTATTATTAGTAAGAGAGAAGGCAGTAGTAGAAGACCTAATACAGTTAATGAGATAAATTTAAAGGAGATAGTGTAACCTAAAAATTTGAATATTTGAACAAATTGTTTTTTACTTTGTTTCTAGTGGTACAAGAATGTGTTTGGAAATGTATTTTCTGGGTTTATATGCTTTATGTTGGCTATAAGCATATTCTTTGCTGGAGACCTAAAGGAAGTCTTGAGTAAGGCATCCTCACACTTGCAGCAAGTATAGCCACTACTTACTGGAGTCATACTTGTGTAGAAACATGTTGCTAGGAAAGCAAGCCTTTGCATAACAGGAAGGAGCAGATTCAGTGTTGACTGGCCAGCTGCCAGTATAAAAATAAACACTTGATTTCTTTTTTCCCTTTATTTCTTTTTTAATTATTATTTTTATTGAGCTTTACATTTTTCTCTTCTCCCGTCCTTACCTCTTCCCTCCCCTTCAACCCTCTCCCAAGGTCCCCATGCTCCCAATTTACTCAAGAGATCTTATCTTTTTCTACTTCCCATGTAGATTAGATCTATGGGATAATTTAAGTTAAGAAGAGCTGGCTAGAAACAAACCAAGCTAAGGCCAAGAATTTGTAAGAAAAAAATAAGACTCCATGTGTAATTTATCTGGGAGCTGGATGGTGCCCCCCCCCCACCAAATCCTGAAGAGTAAAACGACAACAACATTTAGGCATTTTATTGTGAGACTAGATAGATTAAAAGAAAATCCAACTACACATTTCTTCATGATTTTATTTTTCCTCTACTATCTCAAGCTCTGCACATCCAAATCCTCACACAGTCTGTACTTTATATGGTCTTTGTATTATGTCTTGAATATTGCTTATTTTTGCTATGGCCTTATGCATTAGTAGTAATTTGGTAGCTCCACCAGGAGTAAAAATACGCCATAGCTATTTTTCATCTAAAAGTGCGCTAGCATTTGATCAAACAGTCAGCAGCACTTTATTTCACATATTTTGTTAGGGATAAAACTCAGGACCTTATGTATGCCAGATACCTCTATACCCCTGAGCTATCTATCCAACTTCTGGCACTATTTGAAATTTTTTAAAATTAATGTTTTATTTAGTTATATTCTTTACTTTTTATATAAAATTCCGCATAGAATATTTTTATATTTTTAGATTGCTGTTGTTAAAATAGCTATTAAGTGTGAGTATGCATTGGCAGAAAGACACTCTGGACTGTTTACACTGTTTACTGAGTTGTAAGACCTATTTAGTAGCAATATAAATTGAGTGCATTGTTGAACTGATCTGGACATGGCTTTCCTTACCTAGCAGAACTATTAATAGCCTAGAAATTATATAAAAATCTGAATTTTAGAGCTTATTTAAACCTGTTCCAAATAAAGCAGTATTAGTAGGATTCCTGAATCTATGTTAGAACCAGGAAACATGTACAGTAGGTAATAATTATTAATATTGTATTGGATAATATTGTCACCAGTATGATAGAAAAGTCAGTAATAAGGTTTATGTAATTGTTTTTTTCTCTCACTTGAGTATATAAAACTACAAGCTATACATGGTTGACATGAATCTTGAGGGCCAGTGTACTGTAAAATTTTATTTTGTTAATCTGACTTGATACAGAACACAGTGTCTTTTTCTTATTTTAAAAGTACATTTGAAACTTACATGGGTTAATTAATTATAAATTATAGTTTTGGAATAGCAATAATGCAAATAAATTCTTTAGTTTTTCTAGGCACTGAATGATATCTTACTTCCATATTAAGAATTTACTATTACTGTTCGGTCATTTTCTGATCTTGGTTATTTTTATTTGTAAAATAAAGACCTGAGAATTTTGACAATTTATTTTTTTGATTTCTATATAATTTTGTGGTATGTCTTGAGTTTTTATTTATTGTGTTCTAGGAAAAACAAGCAAAGCTATTTGTGATTATAAAACTTAGATTGTATAATTATTATGAAAAGGCTTTTGCTCAGTGGGCTTCTGTGTTTTTCTTGATACCTTATTTTTTTCTTTTCTTTTCCCCCAATATTTTCAGATGTTTTGGGATGTTACTAAGTCCAGGTCGAAACGTGAAGAACAGTGACATGCATTTACTGGATATGGTAATAACAACCTTAAACATCCTAATTAAGTACAGAAGACAGTTATTTTGTATTTAATTTTTTTCATTTTAAAAGTTTGTTATATTGTCAGGGTTGTTTTGTGATAGCAATAATTAAATTTGGACAATCTAAATTACTTCTGAAGGGAAGATTAGGAAAATTTCTACCTAACAATTTTCTGTAGGACAAAAGTACATAAAGGAACCTATTGTGACAGTGCCATCTTTTGGTTTGTTCAGCTTTTTAGGAAGATGTCTTTTTTTTTGAGCCTAGAAGAACAACCACGGTTATAACAAACATCTGCAATGTTGCTTTGCACCTTTCATTTATTTAATGTACTGTCAACTCAGGACTTTGACGATGCTCATTTTCTTTGAAGCATCTCCCTTTCTGAGTTTGTATTTAGCAATGAATATTTACAATATTTCTTTAATAAATGCTAGTTAGAGAGTAATGATGCACGGTTAGGGTTTGGTATTTGTTATGAAGGCAGCACAAGGCATCTTTTTTTTTTTTTATTGAGAATAGGAAAAAAAAGTTTCCGCCTCCTCCCAGCCTCCCATTTCCCTCTCCCTCCCCCCACTCTTTTCCCCCTCCCCCCACTCTTTTCCCCCTCCCCCCACTCTTCTCCCCCTCCCCCCACTCCTCTCCCCCTCCCCCTACTCCTCTCCCCCTCCCTCTCCAATCCAAAGAGCAGTCAGGGTTCCCTGCCC